GTAAGATTCTTCCTCGTGCTTTTCTATTGAAATAATTGATTGTTTAGCTGTTTTGTGTTTTCAACAAATGGTTTGCTTGTGATCACACTGATCTCATAGCAATCAGCAGAAGTTAAAACCACTGACTGAATCAAAAACTTGATAAAACAGGCTTTTAAATAAAGAACAGGACAGACATATATGACTGTATCAACTAAACTGTAATATCTCACTTGGAGGAAGGTGAACACAATTCACACAGAACACGTTTCATTTCATTTTAAGATAAATAGTTTTAGAATAATACATTTAACATAAAAAGTTGTCCAAACATCTTCTCTGTTAATGTGCCTCTGTCATGAGTCAGAAATAATGTTTGCAGAGTATTACTAATGCTCTCATCTTTAACAGTGTATATTTACATAAGTCACATGTTAATATGTTAATGTGTCTCATTGTGTACTAGGTAGTATGTATGATTCCTATCTCCTGAGGACCTGCAGGATGGAGTCAGAACAAATGTCCTTACAGGGACAATAACGTTTATCGTATCATAAATCTGCGTTCAGGATTCACGGTGAACAGCTCTGTGCTGACTTTGTGTTTCTGTTGTCGAGCGCTGCATAAAAACGTCAAGTTATTTCAACGTTGACCTTTCTACGCACATCCAATCAGAACAGCTGTACTAAGAGGCACAAGCTAGCGGAGGAGGAAACTCAGAAACTGAACTTAACTGTTTTCACCACAAAGCTCTGCGGACAACCTGCAATAAACAAAGAGCAAATCATGTGAATGCAGATTAATAGTTAACAAACTTTAGGTAGACTTGCTTGAAATATCAGATAATCATGGGATGGGAAATTGAGACTTTTATTGTCAGGGCTTCCTGGGTTTTAATCTTAAACATGATCTACAGTAATAAACATTTTCAAGAAAAGAGATGAGCAAACAGCATCACAATATTTCATTTATAAAGTTGTATATCATCTATTGTTCATAGATGGCTGTCACTACCCGATCTGTCCCCCTGCCCGATCTGTACTGCGCATGTGCGAGATGGTCCGCCATATTGGACAACTACATACGGCAACTCTAATAGGACACTTGACACAGTGGCTTTTGGCAAAGCAGAAAAAGAACCGAGAGAGATTATTGTTATTACAACGTGACTTCACTATTATTTAACAACTCTTTTTATTGGGTTGTTTTATTTGGGGTTAAATACATTGTCAGAATAAGTGAGACATGGATTTAACTTCTGTTAGACAGCTATCATACTGAATAAATATTTAGTGTGAATGTATGCAAAAATGTATGGCATATAGCTGTCTAACAGAAGTTAAATCCATTTCTCACTTATTCTGACAATGTCTTTAACCCCAAATAAAACAACCCAATCATCATGCTGCTGCTAGTCCATTGATAGTCACCTGTTGGTCTCCTGTCCTTTCTGAAAGTCATAAAGATTACATTAGTCATTTAGATTACTTATGTCCTCAAGTACCATGGGATTACTGAAACCACCATGAATTTAAAAAAATGGTAGAAATGAATCTAATCTAAATTTTGAAGCATTCCTTGCCATCCCCTCCCTCTAAATATATCAATAAACATTAGGAAGTGATGCTCCTGACTACCATACCTGCAACAGGCTCTTTAACCAAGGCAACAGCCTAACATGTATGTTAACAAGTAAACTAGCTGTTCACACTATTCCTAATATTACCCATAAATATGAGCAGATTCTATTTTATTTTTAAAACATATTGATGTAAATACATACACATATCGGTATGTTGTATAAATATTGCAAATCAAAACCTTTATTCACTACTTATTACCAAAGATCGTAGTTCTATCTCCGGTAATCATGCATTCAAATGTCCCGCCACGAACTTCCGGGGAACATTTTGGACTTCCGTTGTCATAACTCTCTGGCCCAATCCCAAACCGCCCCCTACACCCTACCGCTACACACTACCCCTCCGTTTGCGCGTTCGCGCGGAGGGTCCGCCACATTAAGTGCTGTTCTAAACCAACGAGTGTGGAGCGGGGTGGAGGGGGAGTGGGCTATCAAGCCCTCAAACAGCGAGTCTGCATCATGGATGTATAATAAGAACTGGATACAGCGTGGGAGGCGGGGCCTCATTCATTCCTATGAGAGTTGCTCATTCGCGCATGATGATAAAATGGCCCAACTTTTGAGAGAGCGAAACGTCACAGATTACCCGGCATGCCTGAGAAGTACCCGTATGTGCGCTCATAGCGCATGCGCAACTTTAACCATGCCCCCCAAAATGCTCATTCACATCAAGCACGTCAATTTGCGTACACGTAACAGCATCGCACGTTCATGACAGCATGGTAATGGTTTGTTATTATGATAGATTTGATATTAATGAGGCGGCAGTTAGCAGCTAGCGGTTAGCTAGTAATTATGCTAATTTACACATCAATCGTTATGTACTTTTATATTACGCTGTAACAGGATCTAGTGATATCCAAGCAACAGAGCTTCATTTAGCATGAAAGAATTATTGCACTGTATATATATATATATATCTGTATATATATATATACAGTGCAATATACTTCTTAGTGCAATAAGAAGCTACAGGGACGTTAATCTACGTCGGTAATCAGGTACAGCAAATGTGTTGTCCCTGTGTCCACCTAATATCAATTCAAACACCATGACACAATTCCATCAGATTAATGATAAAAACTTAGAGGACATTATTCAACTTCTGAAATCCTCCTCCTGCTGCCTTGATATTATTCCAACAGGATTTTTCAAAGATGTTTTTCATTGCATGGCCTCAGATCTACTTCATATAGTAAACACATCTTTTCACTCAGGTATTTTTCCACAGGCACTGAAAACTGCAGTCATTAAACCGCTCTTAAAAAAGAATAATCTAGATGCTTCAGTAATGAACAATTACAGGCCAATATCAAACCTGCCATTTCTAGGTAAAATCATTGAAAAAGTTGTATTTCAACAGTTGAGTAACTTCTTGCATTTAAATAACTGTTTGGATGTGTTCCAGTCAGGATTTCGTCCAAACCACAGCACTGAGACTGCTCTTGTAAAGGTCTTCAATGACATCCACTTAAACACAGACAGTGGCAGAACTTCAGTGTTAGTATTATTAGATCTCAGTGCTGCGTTTGACACTGTTGACCACAACATATTACTAGACCGACTAGAAAACTGGGTGGGACTTTCGGAAACAGTTCTAAATTGGTTTGAGTCCTACTTAAAGGACAGAAAAAACTTTGTTTCTATAGGTAAATACACATCTGAGTTGACAAATATGACATGTGGGGTACCTCAAGGCTCCACCTTGGGGCCTCTTCTCTTTAACATCTACATGCTACCACTGGCTCAGATAATGAAAAACAACTAAATAAGTTACCATAGCTATGCGGATGACACAAAAATGTACGTAACAATTTCACCAGGAGACTATGCTCCAATTCAAACACTGAGTAAGTGCATTGAACAAATCAATGACTGGATGTGTCAGAACTTTCTCCAATTAAACAAAGATAAAACTGAGGTAATGGTTTTTGGAGCCAAGGCAGAACGTATAAAAGTTAGCGCTGAGCTTCAGTCTGCAATGTTCAAAACTACAGATAAAGCCAGAAATCTAGGTGTAGTCATGGACTCTGACCTGAGTTTCAACAGTCACATTAAAACAGTTACTAAATCAGCCTACTATCACCTAAAGAACATATCTAGGATTAAAGGACTAATGTCACAGCAGGATTTGGAAAAACTTGTCCATGCTTTTATCTTCAGTAGACTCGACTACTGCAATGGTGTCTTTACAGGCCTCACTAAAAAATCTATTAGAAAGCTGCAGCTAATTCAGAACGCCGCTGCTCAAGTCCTCACTAACACTAAGAAAGTGGATCACATCACTCCTGTTCTGAAGTCCTTACACTGGCTTCCTGTGTGTCAAAGAATAGATTTCAAAATATTGTTGCTGGTTTATAAAGCTTTGAATGGTTTAGGCCCAAAATACATGTCTGACCTACTGCTAAATTATGAACCATCCAGAACTCTCAGGTCTTCAGGGACTGGTCAGCTTTCTGTCCCCAGAGTCAGAATTAAACATGGTAAAGCAGCGTTCAGTTATTATGCTCCAAATATCTGGAACAAACTCCCAGAAACCTGCAGGTCCGCTGCAACTCTGACTACTTTTAAATCCAGGCTGAAGACTTTTCTTTTTGCCGCTGATTTTAATTGAACTATTCACATCTTAAACTGCACTGTAACTTTTATCCATGTATTTTTTCTTTTAATGTTTATTTTATTATACTTTAATGTAAATTAAAATGTAAATGTGAAGGGATGTGTGTAATGTGATGATTGACATTATTCACCCACGGATCTATGGGTTGGGGGTATTGTTCCGCACGGACATTTTAGTTAACCGGACTTACTGTTGATGTGAAATCCGAAAAAAAAAATACAATAATACTTTATTCCGGGTTTGCTTGCTTTTCTCTTTGGAGGTTATTACATAACGGCATTGTAATACACGGTTCGGCTGCATTAAATATGACATATCTGCCGTAGTTCTGTATTTATAGAGCCCTGATGAGAAGACTTCTGGACAAACAGGAAGCACTGCCGCCAAAACTGAAAACGTGACGTGGATCATAAATATATCAGCAATTAAACAACATCTTACATTTATTTTCACACAATACGTCTCCTTGCAGTATCAATACTAATTCGGCTGACTTTTATATTTGATCCAATTGGTAGATAGGCTGTATTTACACCATAACGGTGCACAGCTGATAGAAAGGCATATCTAGTGGTTAAAGCACGTTATTGAATTTGATTATTTTATTATTTTTCACAAAAATGAAACCATCAATAGCAGAAACAGAATTAACTGTCATTAGTAAACCACCCAAAAAAAAAGATCATAAGTGGTTTTGTTTTATATATATTTTAAGGATAATAATAGCAATGTAACACTGTCTATGACACTTACTGTATA